AATACATTGTTAACAGTTCCCCAGTGGATGTTCTTCTGACAAAAGACATTTATATGTTATAACTATGATTCTTTATTTAGGGAAACAACAAGCTTGTTACTAGGTTTGTAAACCCTGCTTCCATTTCAGAAAGTAAATAATCTACAAATCTTCAGATGTTTCTTGGGTTCTTCAATTTGAACACCTTATACATGTTATATCATTTGCTTCAAAAGCAAGAAATGTTGGTGACTATTCGAGAGCAAGTAGTTGAATGAAAAGAAATTAGTTTGAAGAGAGAGCCAGTCATAAGATTAGTTTGAAGGGAGAGTCAGTCATAAGATTAGTTAGAATCGAGCCAGTTTTATGATTAGTTTGAAGGGAGAGCCAGTCATAAGATTAGTTAGAAGGGGGAGCCAGTTTTATGATTAATTTAGAGAGAGACAGCCCTATGATAAGTTTAAAGAGGGCAAGTACTATGATTAATATTTCAAAGAGACAGTTCTGTGATTATTTAGAAGGGAGAGCTTCAAAAAGTTCAAAAGAGACGGTCCTATGATTAGTCTAAAGAGAGAGTCAGTCCTATGATTCGTTAGAAAGGAGAGCCAATCCTGTGATTAGTGTAAAGGGAGAGCCAGTTCAGTGATTAGTTAAAAGTGAGAGTCAGTCCTTTGATTAGTTTTAAGATAAAGCCAGTCCAGTAATAAGTTTGAAGGGAGAGCCAGTCCTATGATGAATTCAAAGGGATAAAATTCATTTCATTAGTTTAAAGGGATGGTCAGTTCTATGATTAGTTTAAAGGGAGAGTCAGTTCTATGATTAGTTTAAAGGGAGAGTCAGTCCTATGATTAGTTTAAAGGGAGAGTCAGTCCTATGATTAATTTTATGGATAAGAGCTCCTTTGATTAGTTTAAAGGGAGAGTCAGTCCTATGATTAATTTTATGGATAAAAGCTCCTTTGATTAGTTTAAATCGAGAGACAGTTCTATGATTAGTTTGAAGGTAGAGTCAGTCCAGTAATATGATTGAAGGGAGAGTCAGTCCTATGATTAGTTTGAAGGGAGAGCCAGTCCCATGATGAATTTTAAGGGACAAAAACTCCTTTGATTAGTTTAAAGGGAGGGCCAGTTCTATGATTAGTTCAAAGGGAGAGTCAGTTCTATGATTAGTTTAAAGGAAGAGCCAGTCCAGTGATTAGTTTGAAGAGAAAGCATGCCCTATGAATAGTTCAAAGGGAGGGCTTGTCTTGTGATTTAAATAGAGATCCAGATCCAGTGTCGGGCAAGTTCTGTAATGTTGGAAAGGGGGAAGTCTAGGGGTTAGTTTAAATGGAACCTTGTTTATATCAAGATATTTTTATCTCTTAAAAAGAGGGAGTTTCGTATGTACTGTGTTGGGGAATCTATTACATTTTACGCAACACTTCATAGCCATGTATGTTATTCTTACATAAGTTCAAAATAAAATGCCCTCACCTTGTCAACGATTGCTTTATCAATTTCTTCGAGAGGTTTACCAATATAATCTGTTGGGAACACACCATAGCTATCCAGTAAAACATTTCCCTCAACTAACCCAGGGTCAATCGTTGGCTTTTCAATTTCGTCTTCATTTTCGTCACCAAAAATCAGTTGTCCATCAACAAGATGAGCTTCCTGGGCCTTAGCCTGTTTCTCGATAGCCTTTACCTTTTCCTCTTTTTCCTTTTCCACTTGTCTTTGATAAGATTCATTGGTAAATTTTCTAAAACTGACCAATTTGCTGAGAATAGAGTCCCGAATTTCCTCACCTTCTTGGTCGTACTCATGTTCAATTTGTTCCGGAGATTTTTTAGCACTAATTTCCTCGACAACGGTAGTTTCAGCCTCATTTTTCACCGGGGAAGAATTTTGAGATTTTTCCGGGCTAGCACTAATTTCCTGTTGGTTCGGTTCTCCTGCCTTCATTTCCTCAGAAACATGTGATTTTTCGTTGTCTTGAGACATTCGTCACAGATTAAAAACACCATCACCAAGTCCGTTATAAAATATGATTACAAGCCGCCATGTAAAAACGCGATATACCAAGAACGTTTGTTAGCATTCAATACAACACTCCGAGCTAGAAGATTTTTCATAAAACAATAAATATACTAGTAATCAATTGTATATTATTCCTTTAAAACTAACTTGTCGTGGCTAGTTCGACGTGATGGTATACTCGGATCTGCGTCGAAAAAACAAAGTGCATGACGATTGTGTTTGATTGGTAGTAAACTGTTAGTTAGTACTTGTAAATAATTAACACTATTTTAAGTCTCGCTTGGTGAGTTTCAATACAAAGACATGGTCTCAAGTAGGTAGAAATCGATCTTAATAGATAATAAAACCGATTCTTTCGATTCGCAGACAAGAAAAATCCGCAACACGTATATTATTCTGTATCCGAAATGAAACTCCAAAACAAATCCATAACAAACCAACTGATTCACTACTGTCAAAATAGGAATTTAGGTGATTTTAGGCTTAATCCAAATCCGCTATTGAACACCTTAACAGTCAGTAGCGTACATAAATCCGATTTACAGTAGCAAGGCAACCATAGGCTCTAACTAGTTATGAACCAATGACGTCTAAGAACAGTCGAACGTCTACAATACAGTATAGATCCGGATTAAAGGACATTAAAGATATAAATTTCTTCTATTGTACTTTAATCAATATTAAAACAATGCATCGTCGAAGAGAATAGTCTTGTTTTAATCCTGTTAAATTCCATACTTTTTAAAGATAAAAAAATCTTGGGGCTATCGATCTATGTATATTGGTATATATTATTTATTTATACCTATTGCCTATATAACTAATAGAGATTTTACAATAGAAGCAATGGAGCGTGGTCGTGTATGTCTTATATATACTTATATTTCAATTAACATGGTCTAACAATAGCCTGTATGGTGTATAGAGGAGAATATAATGCTATGATTTTGCAATACCCAATGATAAGAATGATATTTTGTCACTTATAAAAGAAATCCACTCTATAATGTCTTGTCAAGATATATTGACTCGTAACGACTAATAACGGTAACCAACGTATGTGTGCGCACAGGTTCGGAATGGCTGTTTGGTTCAAAATATTCATCGGTACCTCTTTACTCTTTACCCTTAAGATCAACGATATAATTGACAATTACCCACAATTACCCACCATACCCCAAAACATTCAAACCTATAAACTGAAAAAAAAAACACCCTCTAAATAACTTGCGCTCATAAAAATAATTGATTATTTGAAAAACAAAATTAATGTCCAGATATGCTGGCCATAGCCATTGTTTCCAGTATCAAAATGATAGCGACATGATTGCATGCGATTCTTCCCGATCTTCCCATAAACTAAAAAATACTTATGATCTTAATAATCAGAATCTGTAATATATTTTGATATGCAATTTTAAAATTTAACCCAATGAATGAATGAATAACATATTAATATTAGAAACTTATAAACAATATTATTAATTATTAATTCACATAACCAGATTATACCTTAATCTTAATCCGATTAATATTAATGATTGTGAAACAAATTCATGGTCAAGGATTTTTATGTAATTCAATTTCCTGCGCGTTATTTCTTTTCGTTTTTTACTGTAAAGACTTAGTTACGAAATGTAGTTTGCGCTCAACTAGTGTATCATTGCCTGCAACCAAAAAGACACAAAATGCATGACACCGATTATCTATAGGCTTACCATTTATAATACACAACCCTCAAATTCGTTGCGTCTTACCTTGACTCTGAAATATATCGATTAGCGAAAGGTCCGAAACAATAGACAACTTATTTTGTGGACCTACTGAATCTTAATTTCCTTA